CGAATCAGCGAACAGAAGCACGGGCGGCGAAGTATGTCCAGTTTTTTCTCTCTTGCTGAGAAATATCAGATCACGGATCAAAATCCTTAAAGAACCTTATAATGGCATTTAATATGAAAAAAGAGGAAACAACACGATAAAACGCATTAAATCACCATCTTATATTGAGAGAAAAATATCTAAGAAAAAAGCAAATATTAATTTGGTGCCTATTAACCGTTTATAAGTTTGTGGTCGATATTTTAACCACCTCACGTAAAATTCAAAATGTTTATTCTTTCACACTGAACATTCAGTAGTAAATTTTTTGCCAAACAATAATTAGTATCATAAGATTTCTTATATTTCACACATTTGTCATGTATCTAGGTATGTTATGTAAATTTGTAATAAGAATTAGAGTCATCATCTTTAAAAAATCTTTGCCTTATAAAGGGTTAATGACATATTTACTTAAATCTAAATTCTTTTATTTAAATAGAATAAACAATTATTTTCATGAAAGATTAAGGTATTTTAAAGATTTTAAAGGAAATTTTTCCTACTTGAGAAATATTTTATATTAATATAAGTAAATGTGTTATTATAAAATATTCATCGAATAAATATTTATCATTTTTAATCTCTTTTCTCTCAGTGTAGAAACATGATTACGATAAAATAAAAACGAGAGAAGGATAATTCCTATACGTCTATCATCTTTGCGTTATTTCCCGAATAAACGATTTATTTTGCGAGTCAATCGCAAGATAAATATTGCACATCAATTTGAAAAGAAATGATTTGTATTTTTATTGATATTTCTCATGATAACGCGCGAAAAGATCGACGAATGAGGGATTCAAAGGAGAAGCACGTCGATGTCAAAATAACGGAAAATAAAGGAGGAGCAACATAATGTAGCCAGAGTTACGGAGTATCGCTTGTCGTTTATTTTCTGAAACAAGACTATCGCGGTGTGTGTCCCCTGGGGGAGACCACGGCGTCGTAATTAGCGCGCGTGCTGCGGTCGGTGTCCCGTTCTCTTTTGTTTTTTGTGGAGATTCGTACACTCCGGCTGGTCCCGATGGTCCCGGCATCCCTCGCGGCGATCCTGATAATGAGAAAAAAAAGAAACCAGAACAGAAGCTCAAGGCGGCGAACGGCCCGATCCCTCTCGTAACGCGGGCGCCGGAGGATTGAAGAGGAGCGAAGGCGAAGCGAGAGACAGAAGGAAAACAACGAGAAGAAAACCAGAACCAAGAAGAAAGAATCACCGTCAAGCTGAGGTCCCAGATGTTAGTGTATGTCCATACAATCCTAACGAGTGCGCCGTGGAAATACCAGCGGTGGTTTTCCCGATTGAAACGACGCCACATTTTGCGCGGAACTTCCCGAAATAGACAAATCCTGAACCTCGTTTGTCGAATCGAATCGCCGCTCGCGTACGTGACTACAGTGAGATTCGCCGGGATGTGTTTCGTGATAGTTACATCGCACGATTGCTTTTGAGAGAAGAGAGGGAATAGCCGCCAAGAGCCTCGTCCGCGGTAAGGCCGAGAGGACTCGGAAGTGGAGAAGCAGCCCGCACACCCTTTCCAGAGACTTTCCACAAAGCGCAGGGATACTCGTAGGGCTGAAGAAGGCAAGAAGTTGGAAGCGCGAAGAGAAAATAGGGATGGTGGGTGAGAGCGACAGAGAATCGGGCGTGAGATAAAGTCGATGCTGCGACAACAAAGGACAAAGAAGCGACGCGCTTTGTGCCCGGAAAGCGGAAAGAGAATAGAATCTCGCGGGGAAGCCCGGCCACGGTGGAGACGTATCGTGGGTATTTGAAACAAGAAGACCGACGGCCAAAGTACCCTCTCTGGGGGGTTGGAAGAGAGACCATTGAAAAACAACACGGTCCGCCGTCGAGAGTGCCCGAGACTCGGTTTTTCGTCGCGTCGCGTCGCGAGGCGATATCTGCACTCGCGCTTTATTGAATTCCAACGGAGTAACGGTCGTTGTAAAATGGTAACGCGCGAAATTTTTATTTGGTAGAGAGTTCTAATGGATCACTCACTCACTTTCTCTCTCTCTCTCTTTTTTCTTATATTGTGTTTTTACATGAGGACTGTCTATATATCACTTTTATAATTGTACTTGACAGGATTTACCTTGGAACATAAAAAAGCAAATTTTATTCAAACTCCTTAAGTAGTATACCCGGAAAAATTTCGTCGCAAGATATTAAATTTCTTCCAAACTACTTAAAGTGTTATATTTTTTTTAACTCACAACGAATATAATAGAAAATTAGATATATTTTGTATTTTGTGTTCCAAAATTAAAAACAAAATAGCAATAAAGAGAAAAAAGAAATATTTAAATATAAGAAAAAAAATCCGTGCCAGAAGAAATTGCGCAGTAATCATATTCTCCTTTTCTCTATACACGGAGAGAATATTGTAGTAAAAGTTATAATACAATTTTAGTACTCCGGGAATAGACTGATAATATGATGAAATTTATAATAAGACATAATAAAAGTGGCCAAGAACATAGTCAAAATTATAAAAAAATAAATGCAATATAAATGATCATGTTTATGATTATTTTTATTATATTTTATTATAATTTTCGTAATAGTGCCAGTCTATTCCCGAACTACTAAAATAGTATTATAAGTTTTATTATAATATTCTCTCCGTGTAGTTCACCTAGTTCCCAGATATAGAGCTTTTTCAACTAAATTGGCGATTAATTTTGGTTCAAACATTTCTCTACTTTGTAAAATGAATTTTCCAAGTACCTAATCTAAATTTTGTCAGGTCTGTGTTTATTGTAGACTGTGAAAAGTTAGAATCCTGTTATCGAAATATTATATCACGAGCTTACGTATAGCATTCCGTTTTCATAAAGCTGAATCAGACTGAAAGAGCCAGAAGTTAATTATCGTGTATACGCACGCAGTCGATATATTTGCTATATGACTAATTTCTCGGTTAATCACTTATCTGAATCTGGAGAGTTCTTTCCGGCGGCTGAAGAATCCCTACGAGGATTTCAACTAACAACAGATTGATAATAGCGTTCTAAGTACTCCTGTGCAGGAGAGACAGCACGAGACAGAGAATACCAAGGCAGATCCGATTAAACACTACACTAAATCCCATTCAGCGGTGCCTCATTGCCGAGTCTCGTCGGATTCCTTTCTAAGAGCGTTTTGACCACGTCGAATTATCAAAGGGTAGCTATCACTCTGAGCGGTACGCTCTAACAATCTTTCCATCCCGAGTTATAAGAAAAAAAACAGTGGAAACAATAACGCGTATCACAATAGAGCGCTAAAACCGAGCGAAAAAAATCACGATGAAAATCGTAGCTCGTAAAAATCGGACACGATCTAATCCCGCCATCCACCGTTTCCCGTCCGACTCGCTAAGCCTCGAAAGGATCAAATCCGAGGTAGCGCAGGTAACGACAGAATCAGCGCGTACTTGATTCGCGCGACGTGCAATTCGACGGGTTGTTATTCGCGTTTAATCAAGCGTCGCGTCAGACGCGCGGCACGCGCAATAAGGAATTAATTAATCCGCATCCATCTGCTTGTCTCTCCGCGCGAGCGAAAACCGCGGCAAGAGGAGGAGCAGCTTGACGGCAGCTGCGGCTGCCGCACAGCACGCACAGCAACGATCGAGAATCGATCGGCCGCGAGCGAAGTTAACTCACAGGTCGTGTCTGATCTCTCTCTCTCTCTCTCTTGATTGGGTAAATATTTTCGCAAGTTGCGTTGCAGCCGCTCGTCCCGTAACCGTAACGTCGTTAAACAGCTGCGCCCTTAATAACGACGCGATACGAAATAATCGCGTAACCGGACGACGGTGCAAGAGCGGCAGAATCACATGCGCATCACTGTCATGTAAATCGCTTCTCCTCCCGACTCCTCCGCTGCTAAACGCCTCGTTTTGCGCGCCTCCTCTTGTCGGCCCGGCCAGACGCGCTTTATACGTCGTCGCGTCGATTAGTCGCACGAGATGAATTGTTTACAGGTCGGCCGATGAAAATGTTGACGCGTTCGTCTGCTCGACAGACGACGGCTAATCGCGAAATTGCGAGCCGAGAAATTGGATCAACGGTGGGGAAGAGTGATTCGCGTCCTTCGTTGTTCAAGATGCGCGATTGATTCGACGAAGATCACTCGTGGCATGCATATTTAAATAAAATGTTTTTTCTCCATTTTTCTTTCGATTTAGAGTAAAAATATTAGTTGTCAGTTTGCGTACATGTAATTGCAATATACGAGGAAAAATTCTGGCTTTGCCTTCAATATAATTTCCATATATATTTTAGTACGAAAATTGACGACTGCGAGTTTCGTCTCTCCGTGTCGCGGTTGTATGTGTATCGATAATAAATACACTGAAAATATATATTTCTGTACTTGAAATTAAAATATTTGGCATATATGATTTGGTCGACATTATCATGTTTTTACTTGTGTATTGTGTTTTTATTTGTATTATTGAGGAAGCAAAATACACAGCGATGATTACAGTTTTTTGTTGCAATCACCAAGCATTTGGTTGATCCCATTTTAACCAAATTATACTACGGTGTATATGTGTACCAAATTTTCGTTTTGCCAACAAAATTCTTTCTTTAGTGTATTTTGTGGGAACGCTTTGAACCTTGTGAAGATTCAGAGAAATCACGATGGACGAGAGAAGATTATCGTGCCATATCGAGCGTGCAATTTGTATACCGTCGATTCCGCCGCGCCGGCCGGAAAATTTCGCGTCGCGCGCATCGCGCGAAGCGAGCGAAAGGAACGCGGAGTTCTGCGCGAAACCAGCACATCAACATGCAAATTGCGAAAGGATCTCATGGAGTCAGCGTGCCTTACCGAGAGAAACGAGCCAAATACGGAACAGAGCGCATGAAAGAAAGAAGCGGAAAGGATCTTCGGGAAAGAGAAGCGGACAAGTGTTAATGCAAATTGCACTTTCGCAAGCGTTTTACAAGCATTGAGCGCTCACCTGGTCGCTATCGTGTCCCTGCCAGCTGTCGTGACTCTGTAACAAGAAAACAGAAAGCTTCCAGTCTGTGAAACGCAAGAATTAAAAAAGATAACATCACATTCTGCGATTATATATTGTTTCAACTGATGCAGTGCATTGTTTTATAGAGTGTGATCATTTTGAAGTGTTCCTCTTGAATTCTGTTAGATATAGATATTCGATGTGACGATTCATAATGTAATGGATAGAATTAAAGTGGTGTTTGTGGTAGTTATCAACTATAATTAATCAAATGAAAGTAGCATTATACGATTCGCATAATCTTAACGATCTATGTTTAAGTTCGTCGTACTATATTAATTAATTGTGCTATTATTTCAGAGAAAACGTAGCGACGACACGTTAGATATATATTGATACGATATATTTGTAATGTGTAATGAGAGAGAGAGAGAGAGAAAGAGAGAAAGAAAGAAAGAGAGGGAGAATTAAAATTGTACTTTTCATAAAATTAGTATAATTGTATTCTTTATAAAATTATATTCTTTATAAAATTAGTATAATTGTATTCTTCATAAAATTAGTATAATTAAAGTCATATTATACACGATCCTAAGAAAAGTTTTAGTTTAGATAGTTGGAAAAATACAAGATTTTTACAAATTTTTTTCAATGAAATGAATCAAGATATTAATACAAGATTTTGACTATATTAATTATCATTGTTTTAAGTATAAAAAATTATATTTTTATTTTAAAAAATTGAAATTTTATCGTCTAGATTTTTTATTCTGATCGAGATATTGTCAGACGCTTCTATCTGGTAGACAATATTACAGTTTTGTAATAATTTGAAACAAATGAGACAAGAAAATTAAAATTATATCAAATTTAATGAAGGATAAATCTTTGTTATATGTAGAAAGTTGAAATTTAACAAAGTGATGGCACTTGGAAATTATAAATAATTTTTCTTTGCTCTCTCTTTTATTTAGTGTCTTGAGAAAAATACTAATTTTGGAAATATTCAAAATGATTTAGATTCATCCTTCAGCAAATGTAATACAGCTTTTAAGTTTTCTGGTACAATTTGTTTCAGATTGTTGCACGAGCAATAATATTGCCTATCAGTTAGAACAAGCTTGTAACAACGCGCACAAAACATGGACGGAATTCCATTTCTTTTTTAAAATAATCATTTTATACTTAAAACAACGTTAAAGAGTGTGATTAAAATCTTATATTGATATTTTCATTCATAAGTAACCTCCTTTAGAATGGAATGCCTAAATTTACCTCAGTATATTAATTGCATTATTGTATCAGAGGAAACGTATCACGCGTCTCGATACTATGGAACATTGCACTATAACTTTCGCGAGTAACAATCGCTCTCGCAGGACCGTCGTCACGAAGACGGCATATGTTTGACGCGGCACCATTGTGCACCGGCTATTGTCTTCGGGATGAACGAACTGGCAGACGTGACAATTGTGCATCGTGTTCCGCGTAATATCGCACAATAACTCGAAAGTTCAAATCGCGCGCGCCTGTTCTCCGTTTGATCAACACGAGCCGCTTCTCCTCGCTCTCGTCATCAACGCGACGAATAACCTTGCGGAAAGGAGAGACTCCTTATCGAATTCGTATGTCATGTAGTCTTTTCATCACTCGTCTGTTCATTTTCGGCGTATGCGCAGACGAGACTGGAATTCACGATTTGAAGCTTCAAAAGTTCGCGGCGCGTGTCGCCGGTTCTTGAAGCTCCGCCGATCGAAAGACACCAAACGCGACGGAACTCGCGCGGAAATATCTCGCGAAGCGGGCTACAAATTTCTTGTTTATTGAATATTAAAAGCAAGAAATGTTGTCACGAGGCAAACACGCGACGCCGTCCAATTTTCCACTCTACTGGCCCATGAATCTCGCGCGCAATGCCGAGATTTATCTCTCGCAACTCGATGGGTGCCCATTTGCTCGCTCACTCACTCGCTCGTTCGAGTAGACGACGGAAAATCGCTGGGAAAACGAAAAGCGAACGTTTCCTGGCACGATATGCGCCGTTTTCCTGTCAAATGCGCCGCGATACACATATCAGCCATGCGCACGTGAGGACGTTCTGCCAATTAAAAGAAGCAAGAGACGAACGACGAGGACGATCTGGTGGTTCCTTGCTACGCATTCTTCGTGAACGGGACGCGGAGAAAAGCGAAGGAGACGGAGAGATCCATTCGGAATATTTTCCCTCCTCGCTCTTTATGTCCGCGCCGCAGTATCGCACGAGGACATCACGGCGAAAAGCGGTTTATTAAATCGATATGAACAATATTTCCGTTTGGCTCGCGAAAGCTCATACATCGTTTTTATCGCTCAGTCGCGGACGAACGCTCGATCGCGCCATAAAAATCTGACGCGACGCGCGCTCCGCGGACTCGTTAAACGCTAACGTAAACCTGTTTATCGAGGATGATAGCTGTAACGCACTTGTTTTCCGATGATGACCGATAACGGTTCTGATATCCGGCGAGTTCCCACATGGCAGTTAAATTCTCGACTTACAAAGTCGACCATCGCGATGGCCGCATTAACAACCGTCACACGGACACGAGAGAAAGAGAAAGAGGATACCTCGCAAAGTTGCGGCAGTAATAACGTTAGAACTCGATGAAACGTCGCGGGTATAAATCGCGCGACGGACGGCAAGTGGATGAGAAACATAACGTGATTTTGGACGGGCTCCAAGGGACCAACGTCGGAAACGTGTTACAGCAACGTCCGCTCGCGAGAGAAAACGGCTCGCGAATCCATCGCTAATTGACTCCCCAGAGGCGTGCAGTGATCTTCGCCGATAGCTCGCGGAACATTTTGCGCTCATAACTTCGACTCGCTTCATTAAATCGGCGTAAATAATATGAAGGGGAGTGTATGGACGGCTATTTTATCGGAGGTCGGCCGGTGTCGGAAGTATAGGCAACGGTCGGCGGGTTAATGTCGGGCCGCCTCGTTAGATTTATGACAGCAATATAGGCGTCACGCGGAGGAAAGTTGAAACGTGCCCCGTATACGGCCTGCTAACGCTTTCGTTACGAAATGCACATTCGATATACACGCCGCGGAATTTATGAGAATCGCGCGCTTTCCTCTCCTCTCCTCTCCTCTCCTGTAAACACATCTACCTTTTAATATCAAATTTCTGCGCGGCCGTCGGGTCGCGCGTCGGCGAGATTAATTGTCTCACTTTCCTTCGGAATTTCATCCTCACACGAGATAGACGTGAGAACGATAGACACGCGTGCAAAGCGTGCGCGCGTGTCGGCAAATTGATGGGGCTGCGGCGACCCGATGGGAAAATATCGCGCCGCGCGGTGACACATTTTTCAGCATCGGGCTTTCGCTTTTGCACCATTACGTCGCGCTCATAAAGTATGTTATACGGAGCGTTATGATAATGAAATATGTACTCGGTGAAAATGCGCTCCGTTCCGGCGCGGAGATATTTTTCGCCTTGAGTGGACTTGCTCGCCAGCTGGCCGGGTTCTCGCGAAGGTCGAACGACGGAATTATAAATTCAGATTTTCCTCGGGGAGACAGCGCGCGCAAGAGAGGGAAAGAGAGAGAGAGAGAGAGAGAGAGAGAGAGAGAGAGAGAGAAAGAGATGGGATCCTATCTGTAACTGAAAATCTTTGCTACATCTTCCGTTACGTCTCGAAGCTGCTGATCGCGCCGGAGAATGTTCGAAAATGCGAAAGATTATCCGGATCGCGCCTGTATACGGGCGCGGCACCGAGACGAGGTTGAATACTCATGCTTTCGCGTTTATCTCGATGCATACGCGCGTGTTCGCGTACAAAGAAGAGCGACTGAACTAATATTTACGTCTCTTTAAAGCGACATCATTTCTTTCGCAAGGCGACGTGGAAATGCGCGTGTATCGCGACGACGCCCCGGCAGTTCCTCTTTAACAACAGCAGCAGCCTATTATGTAGGTCAACGAGTCTCGTTTTTGACAAAGGCTCGAGAGACTTGACTAGTTCGAATTGAATAATTCTTCATGAATCGCTCACAGTCGCGTTAATGTCACACGGTGCATCACAGAGATCGTGAAACGAGCAAAGAGAGATGTGAGAGAGAGCGAAAAAGGAATCAAATTATGCTCAACGCATGAAATTCTCAGGCAGACTTTTATCCTCGATATAAGCCGAAAGAACTGAGATACGCTTCACCATTCGAGACGATTCGCGTTCCTGTCGAAATGTACGCTGAGAAAGAAATATTTGAAAATTTATTTGTGGAGTAGAAGTTTATTTCACAAAAATTATCTTTATATTTCATAAATCAATTTTTTCAGTGTAAAAAACGTCTTGTATTTTTACACAATACAAATGTATGGAAATCGATTTGTGTAGAAAGAGTACGATCAAATTTCACCTTTTTTTATGGAATTTTGTAAAACTTTTACTCCAGTGTAAAAAAACGTCTTATATTTCTACACGATACAAATGTATTGAAATCGATCCGTGTAGAAAAAGTACGATCAAATTTCATCTTTTTTTATGGAATTTTGTAAAATTTTTAACGTTCCAATAAATAATGTATCGATTTGAAGATTATAGGACAAATAGATTATAAGAATATAAAATCCCAATACATTACTCTCGTAGTCGTTTAGGAGATAAACGGTTACAGTTTCGACAAAGCTATACTATTGAGTTATACCATTGAGATTACAATCTTTTGGATGTTTATCTTCCAAACAACTACAAGAATAATATCAAGATTTTATAATCTCCTCGACATAAGCTTAAAATCAGTGACAAATTTTTAACATACCTGTGGGTGTTAATTTAATATATCGTCGTTTTGTATAGACGTGTGGAATGTGTTATTTGGACTATTCTGGGTCGAGTTCATAAAAAAATTCACCATTTTTAAAGATTAAAATATTTTAACCCTTTAACAATTTATGTAAATGTACGAATTTTTGGTGACATACTTTACATATAAATTGTACAGATAAGTTATATTCGTGTTAACCTTTAAACTGTCAGCATAAT